CAGCAGCTGCTGCAGCAGCAACTGCTGCTGCCTGCAGCACTCGGAGGTTGGCTGGGTAACGGAAAAAAACTCAAACCTAAACCGATAGTTGTTGATTGTCTTTCGTGCTCCCCAAAGGGGAAGAAGAAACAAAACAGAGGAGCTGTGTCAACTCCACCACAACGAGAGAGCTAAGCCCTGCTGTTGTGCTGCTGCTGCTGCTGCTGCTGATGCTGCTGCACCTAGTGCTCATGCATACCATAGCAGCAGCCTGCAGCTTTGTAGTTGTGCTGTAGCGAGAGGAACCCCCCACAGGTCCTCCTCATATGGGGGGCCCCTTTCAAATCCAGTCAAGCCCTTTGGCTTCACCATGAAGGGGGGCCTCTGACTGTAGACCCGCGAACCCCAACACCAGGCAGCAGCAGCTGCTGCAGCGGTAACTGTCACTGCAGCTCCTGCTCCTGCTGCTGCTGCTGCTGCTGCTGAGCTACGTCACAACCCTTACTAGTTATCGTCCCTATCAGCTCCGTCTCCAGCAGGAACAGCAGCAACATCTGCTGCTACCGCAGCTTCTGGTGCTCCTGCTGCTGCTGCTGCTGCTTCTTCTTCTGCTGTACCTACGTCTTCCGCTGCTGCAGCTTCTTCTGCTGCTGTATAGTGCGTGTCTTCTGCTGCTGCTGCTGACGCGCCCTCTGTAGACCCTCCCTCAATAAGACCATAAGCCTCCGGCTTTTCAACATACGCTGCGAGCAACAGCAGCAGCAGCAGCAGCAGCAGCAAACGGGGCAGTAGCAAAGACAGCAGCAGCAAGTGGCTCAGCAGCACTAAGCGGCAGCAGCAGCGGCAGGCTGAGTATACACAGCAGCAACTGCAGCAACAAGAAGAAAATACTGCAGCAACATCACTTACATGTCGCGGACGCAAGCGCCTCTGCAGCCGTCATGTCTTGCTGCAGATACTGATCGTAAAAGTACTGCAGCAGCAAAAACAACAACAACAGCAGCAGCAGCAGCAGCAGCAGCGGTAACAACCACACTAACAAACACACAACGACGATCACTATACAACCACAAACCTACACCCCCAGCACCTTCACGTCTACCCACCCGACTCGAATACAATACGATCTATATTTCATATATAATACGGCCAATATATATATATATATATATATATATATATATA